AAATATAATCTACACATTCTTTTATAAACTATACAAATCGAAATCCAACCTACAACACCCACATAAAAATAAAAGTAAAAATCCAAACTTCAAAAAATAAAAACTTTCCCCAATTTACAAAATTAAAAAAGTGTAAATATTGTTTAATGTCCCTCCATGCTGATCCGGAGTCCACCTAACAAAAATAAAGGAATAAAAAGACGAAAAAAAAAAAATTGGAAAATCATCCTGAGCTTGGGGGAGCTTCATCACCCATGGTCCTCCACTGTACATCATATTTCCTTCCAAAGTCATGAAGCCTGATGATCATCATGTTTTTTTTTTTATATGACACACTATGCAAGATAAAATAATTATTTTTTTATAAATTTTCTTTACTCGCTTAATCTTTAAATATAAAATTTTTAATTTAAAATCTTATATTCTTAATTAATTAAGTTAAAAAAACACTAATAAAACAACTAATTAAATTATTAACATAAAAATACCTTTTTCCTATATAATCAGACATCAAATTCTCATTTCGTATGAACGTTTCAATCCGTTAACTATTTTGTAAAAAAACAAAAAACCAATTGAGTCATCTTGGGGGCATGATGGTCATCATTGTTTTTTTTTTTTTATTAACTTCTTGATATCCAGTAATTATATTAGATCCGATTAATCTGAAATTGAACCGTGTTGAACCCCATTTAGAAGAAATTTCTTTCGGTGTCTGTTTCTCCATTCATAAAATTCAAATTCAAAATCTTATTTAAGGAAAAACAAACTCTTTCCACTTAAATTAATAAGCCATTCTTCGATGATTATCATTATAATCTAAATGACTAAATGTAAATGCAACTCCATTTTTTCAGATTTTACCAAAAGACCCCTTTACATGAGCTATATACAAAAGTGGTAATGAGGGTAATCAAGTCAAAGAAGTGATAACATTTGCGTAGCATGTGAATAAAACTTACGCACGTGGCATGCAATACGACGACGTTACATCAACTTTTGTGGGATCCGTACAGCTCAACGCTTTGACGAATCGCCAAGCGGCCTGGCCGGAGCTGCTACGGTTAGGCGGAAGCTTTTTCGCATCATCCACCCGAGGGAACATAATCGACGGACTTCGCCGTAACAACCTATTTTTGATGTCCTTGAGATCCATTTCTGGCGGGAATTTCACCATTCCAAACATTAACACGTACCAACGTGGCTTCACCGTCAACTTTTTGGCGTTGGATTTTCCCAGGCTCCTCCCGGATGAATTTCTCTCCATGGACGGATTACGGGATGATGATGAGTTCGAGCTCGACATCCGGTGAGGTTTCTGATAATCCAAGGAACGACAATACCTCAAAATCCTGGTCTTCAAACTGTCCGAACGAGTCATGGTGGCGCTACGCAGCTCGGAAAGAGACTCGGATCGCTTGCGAAAGCCAAACAACGGCTTCGTATCATCGTTAGAAGAATTAGTACCCTTTTGACCTTGATCAGAAACATGCTGATGTTTTATAGGCACGAGTTTCCCGCAGAAGATAATGTCATCGGCCGGACACATATCAATGCCGAAGTCAATATTGAAGAAGCTGAAGAACTCGGTTGTCTCCGGTGATAATCGAGACTGTTTTTCCATCTTTCCCACGACTTTCTCATCGTACTCCTCATTGTCAATCGGAAAGTCGCAAAGAGAAAGCACCTCTTCTTTTTCCTCTTCTAGGTTTCGAAGATGATCAATATTTTCACCCATTTCCTTTTCTTTTAGAGGAACAAAAGCTAATCTCAAGTTTGAGAAACAGCCCCAAGGGAAATTATTTATATAGGTACTGAAGAAAAAAGTGTGAGGGGAAGTAATTAATTATATAGAGACACATTCATGTCTTTTTTGTCTTTATTAAGATCCATTGCTTTGTTAAGAGTAGATGACTTGGTAAAAGATGGTTAGTATATAGGGGTTTGTAGTGTCCAAATTAAGAAAGTTTCGGTTATGTATGATGCTTGGTGTCTAGGTTAGTTTTTAACGTAATTTTTATTTTTGGGGGTTTAGGGGTCGGTTTCGTTAATGGCTATACGAGGTATTGTATATTCATAGGTAATAAGTTTGGGTGGATGATTCCGAGTTTTCACTAAGGAAGACGACCTATATAACCGTTACATGGACAGGGAGTCTGGTTGGTTTTGTCCTAAAATAGCTTTGGTGTTTTTTGTTTTTAGTAATCTCTCCGTATTTGATAATCATATTAGATCCCTACTAATTTTAAATTAAATCAAATGAGATCTAATTAGAGGAAAGCTCTTCAAATATTTGTTTTTCCATTTACAAAACTCAAATTCTAAATTGTATTTAAAAAAAACAAAACTTCTTCTTCTGCGACCAACAAATAGTTGGTCTTTTATGGTTATTTATAGAAGGGTTGGAGGGAAAGTACACAATTACGTACACAGAGTGATCAGCTTTGGAATTTATGTGAGTAATGGAATCTATTGTAAAGTCAAATTAGAGTTTGCTACAATTCATCTAAGGAACTAAGGAATATTGGACCTTATACCCAAACATAGGAATATGGGATAACAAATTAATAATTTTTTTTGATAGAATAAAAAATTAATAATTAATATTCCTTCAAGGGTTAATATATATTTTTACATAGGCAGGTATAATGAAAATGACATATATTCGTACCTTATTTTATTTTATTTTTTGTTTATGCATGAGACTGTCTCTCTATCTCCTGTCTTCTAGATGAACATCTTGGTGCTTAGGTATTCTCCAAAAAACTTGAGGCTTATGAGATTAAGGTGTGGGGTAAGCCCCTTTTTTTTTTTTTTTTTTAAGTTTAGTGCTCAGAGTGTGCCTTTAGGTTAGTTTATATGTATTTCAAGACTAATCTCTCTTCAATTTAGTTAAAAGTAATTTATCCACATTAGAATTAAGAAGTTCATGTGAAATTATCTCTTTATTAGCCTTTTTAAATAATTAAATCTTAGTTAATAAAGTGGAGAACAAACCTCATTGCTAACTAAATCACAACTTCTTAAGTGTGGGATAACTAAAAAGTTCGTCATTTTCATGTAGGTCAATTTATGTGCATCTTGAGACTAATCTCTCTTTAATCTAGTTAAAGATAATTTATCCACGCTAAAATTAAGAAATTCATATGAAATTATCTCTTTATTAACTTTTTCAAATCATTAGATCTTGGTTAATAAAGTGGAGAACAAATCTCAATGCTAACTAAGTTACAACTTCTTAAGTGTGAGGTAACTAAAAAGCTAGTTATATACATATATATTTCGACTCTCGACATGTTCCAAGCAACAAGGGGATTGTAGTGATTCTTTCTACTAGATGTATGGTAAAGGACAGAGGAAAGTGTACCAATATTTGAATCTTTTGTCAACAGAAACATCTTGCATCTCAATCTTGTGAGCAAAGAAATCTAGTTATAGCAGTAGTTTTACCTACTAAAAATAGTCTAATGCAATAGTCCCTTTTTCGAATATTTGGCCTTTAAAACTACCATTTTGAAGAAACTAAAGAAGTTTAATTGCTCCAAAAGAAAAGTATATATTTAGACTTGATTATCAAAATCATAAAACCTTAACAGCACGTTTGGAATGCTGGGTAGGATATGATTGGACAAAATTAAAACAATAGGATAAGATTGAATTAGAAAGTATTAATTATATGACATCTAATCTTATATTTGGAGTGCAGTAAGATTTGATATAAATATATAAGTTTATGGACAAAAACACCCTCATAATGTAATATAACAATAATTTTAAAATTTATTTAAAATTGCAATTTTATTTCTCATAAATGCAAAATCAAGAAAATTGAATTAATTAAAAATAATTCAAACAATAATGTAATTCTGATTTATTGATAAATTTGATTTTCATTAATTTATCTTATTAACAAAATTAATTTTCATTAATTAACCAAACAAATTCTGTTTCCTTATTTAATTATTTAATTTATCAATTATTATTAAATACTTTTCTATCTTTTTTTTTTTCTTGGAAACAAGCAGAAACCAGAATGCCTCCTTCATCTTTCTATTGTTCATCTTCTTCAAGAGGACTAGTGTACCTTTTTTTCGGTTACAGGTGTTGGTATTTGACTTGATTTTCAGTTGGGTTCTTTGATTTCAAAAAAAGATAGGTTGAATTAGGATGAAGAAATAGGGAAGCAGTGTGCGAAATTACTAATAGCGAATCTTCCAATTTTTGCTGATATCGCCATTGGACCACCTTCAGAGATGAAGATGATCGGATTTTGCAGTTGATTTTCTGATGATCAGAGAGACTTTGTTTTCCCTGCACTAGATCTGCCGTCAAAGATATAGATCTAACCGGAGTTCCATTTTCTCAGACCAAAGTTCAGGAAAGGAGAGACGAGCCATCAGGAAGAAAATAGTGAGCCTAAAGGGGTAGAGTTGGTAAATTAAATCCAATCCATTCGTATTGGGTATGGTGGGATTAAATTTATCTCTTGAGGATGGGATTGGATAAATCATTGGATACCATTTGTCTTATACCGAGTTATCTTCCAAACACGAGATTAAGTTGGACAAGATAATTTTTTATCCAGTCCCGCAATTTGTCCAGGCCTCCAAACGTGCAGTAAGGGGCTACATTACATATTGTCCCACTTTTAATAAATTTGGGCCAATCCAGTGACAGTACAACATCAAACATCAGACATCCCAAAAGGGTATTAAGGATGGGCTGATGGCCCAAATGAGATCATGATCCGCAAGAGCATTGGTACTGTACTTTCCTCGGCCCACCCCACTCCACCCCCCAAGGCCCAAAAAGAAGCTACGATCGGTTTCCGTAACTAATTTCCAGGTGAAATCATATCGTCCTTCTCAACAAATTCCCAGGAACCCTAACTCCAATAATTCAACCAGAACTTAAAATCAAAGTCAGATTCATAATCACTGTCATTGGCAGAAAAGAAAGATCACGTAATTTCCCAAAATTTAGCTGAACAGTAACCACATTAACCATTTACTTTCCCACATTTTCTTGAGAGCCAAACAGAGGAGGAAAAAATGACATAAAGAAAGTGAATTGCTAAGAAACAAGAGTTAACATTCATTAACAAGCTATGAAATCTCAAACATACAAAAAAAGATCCAAAATACTCCACAAGTACCACGGCACAATTTCATACAAAACCCTAAACAACAACGCTACCTAACATCTTTGCAATTTGCGTCCTCCAATTCCCAAACTACATCAAACCCTAACCCTAGATCTAACCTCCGAATCCGTAGAGAGTTCGTCCCTGCCTCTTCAGAGCATATACCACATCCATGGCCGTAACAGTCTTGCGGCGAGCGTGCTCGGTGTAAGTGACGGCATCACGGATGACGTTCTCAAGGAAGATCTTGAGGACGCCGCGAGTCTCCTCGTAGATGAGGCCGCTGATACGCTTGACTCCTCCACGCCTGGCCAGACGCCTGATCGCCGGCTTCGTGATGCCCTGGATGTTATCCCGCAGCACCTTCCGATGGCGCTTCGCTCCTCCCTTTCCTAACCCCTTACCTCCCTTTCCTCTCCCTGACATCTTCTCTTCTCCCTCTTTTCGTTTCCTCTGTTCTTCTCTTTGGAATCAAGTGACCTGAGAATTGGGGTATATGTTTATATAGGGGGGACGGTTGGACTGGGAACCGTTGGATTGGGTAGCGATCCGTGTGAGAGTGTAAATTTAGAATATAGTCCGTTGGATAGGAAACCCTTAAATATAATTGGTGTTGATGAGGAAGCAAGGATCGAGGATTCGCTAAAGGCCTAAGTTTAAAACCATATGGCAAACTGAGACAACAGGTTGCTTTGCCGCTTTTTTGTTTTTTTGGGCCAAAAATCAAA